TATACACTTGCCTTTACCATTAAGTATGTACTTGGTCACAAAGTAATTTCCATTTTACATATACACTTCCATAAATTAAAAGGAATGAAGTTATTATAGTTAATATATGCAAATCGTTATCAAATCGTATATTTTCCTTTTCTTCCATTACATGCGTGCGATATATATAAATATATAAACTATGTTACATGCGTTATATACGTCTCTAATTATTTTTCCCTAGCAAATTTCAATTGAACCTAAAGCTGCCACGTCAGTTTAATTGGTATGCTAATTGATTGACAACTAAGCAAGGTTACTTTTTAATTAATACAAACTTGAGGTTACATCTTTTCAAATGTTTCTCAATTAATATATAGGGGATTAATTATCAGTTCAAATATAATTAAAATAAATTACTGTTCATACATTAAAATATTTAATAAAAATTAAAAAAACTCTCTATATGTATAAATTTTTATCCAAACATAATATTTTTTATCAAGTAACATAAACAAAATTTTTTTTTTTTAAATATTTAGTAATAAGTTAAATATTAATCTTAGATATGATTTTTCATATACAAAATGATAATTCAATAGTATATTATTTTAGATAATGATAATCATCAAATAAATAAAATTTGTTTCTAATTAATGGTTAATTATATATTAATTTGTCTTTAGTTTATGGTTAATTATATGTAATAAATCTAATTATTATTAATGGTAGTAATGAATTATTAGTCAAAATCATAAGAGCATCTTATTATATAAAGTAGATTTTTCTCTAAGATAATGACCATGTCACTAGTTATCTGTTAAGATAATGACATGTGTCATATTTTTTTATTTGGCAAATAAATTTGTATCAAAGCCAGTCTCTTAATATCGATATCATTTTAAACGTTAATTATCTTATATAATAAAATTGAGTTTTGTCACTTCTCCTTGTGCCATGTCATCTGTGAGATAGGGGCATTTTCTGCCACCTCAGCACCTGTCCAAGCGGGTATTCCGCTTAATCAAATCATGTCGAATTCCGGTAGCAATCTGCTCGACGGCCTACTATTTTCATAGATTTCGGCTGGCCCAGTGAAATATTATGTGAAGCCCATATTTGTATTAGGTTTATGCTTCTTCTCCATTGCGTCTCCAACGATAGCCGACACCATTTCACAAAAGCTTAAACGCCTCCCCGATTACCATTACGTCTACAACTCGCATTAATAGCTGATTAACTCTGAGTTTCTCTATTACTATCCCACTCCTCCCACTGCGACGCATTCAATCGATCTCTTCACGTACTATAGGACCCCCTAAAAAATCCCATTATAAATATCAGACCCTCCAACGATGTACAATGTAACTCAAATTATTCCCAAAAGAAAACTTTTCTCTACCAAATGATTCCGACGATGGCGTCTTCCTACTCTCTCCTTGCCGATTTGTAAGCCGGCCGTTGCTCTAACACGGCGGAGGTGCGACTACTCCGATTGTGGGAGGCCATAAATAGCAAAAAAGGAGGGGAGCTGATCATTGTTGACATGTTGCTCATCGATGATAATGTAAGAATCCTTGAGTCGGATTAGAAACCTCGATGATACGTTCATTCAGTTTATTTTTTAGATTTTGTTTTAGTAGATTGATTTAAGATACTTTGATTATGATTAACCCTCTTGACGATACATTCATTCGATCTTCTTATATATATTTTTACTTCGTTGATGAGAATGTTTTTTTTACTTTGTTCAGATTCGTAGATTTAATAAATTTTGATTCCGCTTACATTCATTCGATTCTATTATATTTCGTTTTGCTTCCTTCATGAGAATGTTTTAATATTTTGTTGTGATTAATTGATTTAATAAACTTTGGTTATGCAAGTGGATTTGAAGCTTCTGCAATAATTTTGTGCTCTCAATGTGGATAAGAAGATACTCTTATCGTTCAAATATGCTCAAGTTTTTTTCTACCAATGGTCGCTCATCTTTGTTGGTGTCATTCTAACTCTTCGATTACCATAGCACACACTGGAACAAGCTTCTGAACGCGTCCCAGTTCTTACTATTGGCCTCCAGTCTACAGATATAACATGGTGTTGTACTGCCCTCGACTTTTCTAATTAGTGTTTATGTCTTCTGTAATGGTTTTGATATAGTTCTAAACTCCAGCTTGAGCATCCTGGAGAGCATGGTATAAAAAAAACAGAGGAAATCTTCTATGAATCTGATGCGGAAGCGAACAGAAGAAGAAATGCTTCTTGGAACCCTTTAGATATGTCGCAACCCATAGATGAAAAAAATTTAGCACAAGATAGATTTTGGTTCCTATGTCTTGATGAGAGATACTGGCTCCTCCTTCCTTGGCTCATTGGTAAATTTTGAGGAAACTTGGCGGCGCATGCTGTGAATAAAATAACCTTATTATGTTGATTACCTGATTTTGTTGAATAAAGAAATTTATTTATACAATTGTAATATGATGCACGCTTTAGTGTGATTCATTTATGAATATCCATTTATCTCTTTGATTTCATTATTGTTTATTTTGATCTTGTGTTGGATTACAGATTTGTCTATATAATCAAAAAAAACTATTAACATCAAAATGTTTTTGTAGCAGAAGCAAATCAGGTTGTGAAATGTAAATGGGTAGAACACACCAACAATAACAAAAAAGTTTCTTAAGTTAAAATTTTTGTGACTTTCCTTCACAATAAGATTACGCAATGTGTAGAGTTTGTTATATGCTTCGGGACATCTATGAATGTCACAACAAAAATTTTGTAACCATATAAAGCTAATATTTTTAAAAAATATATTGAAATAAATCTTGATATAAAAGAGGAGAGGGGGAGAGAAGGTGGTCACTGCCTTTTTGTTACTAAAAACCGTTTGTTTCCACAAGGAACTTATACTTGAATGGGACTTCTGCCACTCATTTTTACTTTTACACTGAGACAGTTGCAGGAAAAGAGGTGTTTGACAGACGAGTTTTCTTATTCTAATGTTTTATGTGCTCTCTTTTCATGTATATTTTGGTGGGAAATGTTGACAATTAGTTATCGGTTTAAGCGTTTCCTATGTTGCTGATATTGGTGTTTTTTTCCAATTTAAACAATTGACTTCTTGTCGTTATCTCCTTGCAGTCTACCAGGTGGTGTGACAAACCAGTCTGGGTCTTCATCAAAGGTGGTTCACTCACATAAAATTGAATCTCTTACCGTTGCTGAGATAAACCAGTTTGTTATCACTTCTGAACCTCAGGTAACAATTGACCAAATCGTCAACATACTGGACCCCAGGGAAAACTCCCATTATGACCACAAAACTATACCAAAATTTGCTAAGTAACCAAAACACATATTTCTCCAACTTTCTAATTCTACCTCCCTCTATTCTTTCTACAAAACTAATTTATCTTTTTTAATTATAAAGATAAACCCAAGACTATATACAACTTAACAAAAAATATATAAATGTTAATTATTTACATTTTTGTTGTAAGATGAATTCAAAATTTATTAATTAAGCTCATATCATAATAAAAACAACTTAAGCTTATATCAAAATGACAAATCCATTAAAAGAATAAATAA